TGGCAGTCCCATTAGATGACTTTGATGTTATTCTTGGGAACGATTTCTTTATGGCTGCAAAAGTGGCATTTATGTCATATTTGGGTGGGTTGTTGATTTCAGATGAGAATCAACCTTGTATTGTGTCGGGCTCTACTCAACCAGATAAGAAAAATGGGGCAAAGAAGAAGGATGAGATGTTGTCGGTCGTGCAAGTGCTTAACAGACTAAGGAAGGGCGAGGAAACATTCCTTGCAGCATTGATTGAAATGAAGCCTGACCTTACTATGGAAGTACCAGATGCAGTGGCTGATGTCTTGGCGGAGTTCATTGCTGTAATGCCACCAGAGTTGCGTAAATCTCTCCCTCCTCGGCGTGCCACTAATCACAAAATTGAATTGGTGCCTGGAGCGAAGCCTCCTGCCAAGGCATCCTACCGAATGTCGCCATTGGAACTTGCTAAATTAAGGAAGCAGTTGTCGGAGTTATTGGAAGCCGATTTAGTCCGACCCTCTAAAGCCCCATACGGTGCCACCGTGTTGTTCCAAAAGAAACAAGACGGATCATTGCGGATGTGTGTGGATTATCGGGCCCTAAATAAGGTGACTATCAGAAATAAGTATCCTGTCTCTTTGGTGGTGTATCTGTTCGACCGTCTTAGCAAGGCCACTTTCTTCACAAAGTTGGACCTTCGCTCGGGGTATTGGCAAGTTCGGGTTGTGGAAGGAGACAAGGCAAAGACCACTTGTATAACTAGATATGGTTCTTTTGAATTTTTAGTTATGCCTTTTGGCCTTACTAATGCTCCTGCGACATTCTGTAATTTAATGAATGATGTTTTTAACGATTATGTTTATCGGTTTGTACTTGTTTACTTAGATGACATTGTAATTTATAGTGAAACACTACAAGACCATTTGACCCATCTCAGAAAGGTACTCAACCGATTGCGGGAAAATAAACTCTATGTAAAGAAGGAGAAGTGCGAATTTGCTCAAAAAGAACTTAAGTTTCTTGGGCATATTATTTGCCAAAGCCATGTCAAAATGGATGGAAAGAAGGTGCAGGCTATTATGGAATGGTCTTCACCCACCAATGTTGCGGAGTTGTGATCCTTCTTGGGTTTGGCAAATTACTATCGGAAGTTTATTAAGGGATATTCAAAGAAGGTTGCTCCCCTCACTAATTTGCTGAAGAAAGATAAAAAATGGCATTGGTCCATTAATTGTCAAGAGGCCTTTGACAAGTTGAAAAGTGCAGTGGCAAGTGAACCGGTCTTGTGACTGCCTAGTTTTGAGTTGCCTTTTAAAGTACACACGGATGCCTCAGAGAAAGCGCTCGGAGGGGTATTGGTGCAAGAAGGACACCCTGTGGCCTTCGAAAGCATAAAACTGAATACTGCTAAGAAGAATTATTCGGCCCATGAGAAGGAGATGACGGCGGTAGTACATTGCCTTCTCACCTGGAAGGTTTATCTGTTGGGATCGAAGTTTTTGGTTCTTACTGATAATGTGGCTAATACATTCTTCAAAACTTGGAAAAAGTTGTCTCCAAGGCAGGCCCGTTGGCAGGAATTCCTTGAAGAATATGACTTTGAGTGGCGACACAAACCTGGACGACATAATCTAGTCGCTGATGCCTTAAGCCAGAAGGAGATAATTGACTATGTGGCTGCTATCTCCAACATTGAATCACAATTGCTGGAAAGGATCAGGGATAGTGCTGCAATTGACTCAGAGTATCAACGGTTGGTGCAGCAAGTAAAGGATGGAATTGTTCGTCGGTATTGGCTTGAAGATGGTCTTCTCCATGGCAAAGGAGATAAGCTATATGTCCCTAGTGTTGGGGGACTGCGAATGGAACTTCTTAGAGAAACGCATGACCCGTAGTGGGTTGGTCATCCGGGACAACAACGCATGATGGCACTTCTGTCGCGTTCATATGTTTGGCCAAAAATGGAAGAGGACGTAGAGGCTTATGTCAAAACTTGCATGGTGTGCCAATTGGACAAGATCGAAAGAAAGAAGGCGGCTGCGTTATTGCAACCATTGTCGGTCCCTAAGAAGCCTTAGGTTTCCATATCCATGGACTTCATATCCGGATTTCCTAAAATAAATGGGATGCGTTTCATCATGGTAATTGTTGACCGTTTTTCTAAGTATGTTGTTTTTATCCCTGCTCCTCATGCTTGTCCCGCTGATATTGCTGCTGATTTATTTTATAAGTATGTTGTAAAATACTTTGGCTTGCCTGAGGACATAATTAGCGACAGGGATACCCGGTTTACGGAAAGGTTTTGGACTGTGCTCTTTAATTTGTTGGGTTCCGAATTAAGTTCTCCACAGCAAAACACACTCAGACGGATGGCCAGACCGAGAGGATGAATGGATTACTGGAGGAGTATCTCCGACATTATGTGACCGCAAGTCAAAAGAATTGGGTCGAATTGTTGGACAGCGCACAGTTTTGCTATAATTTACACAGATCATCTACAACCGGGATGAGTTCGTTTGAATTAGCCACAAGGCAGCAGCCCCTAACTCCTCACTTAGTGGCTAAAACAGGCTCTGGTGGTAAATGTCCAGCAGCATACCGCTTTGCAAGGACTAAAGAAGAGCTGCTGGAGGAAGCACAAGACAGTTTGGCTAAAGCAAGCAAAAGAATAAAAAAGTATGCTAACAAAGGGAGGAGACCCTTAGAGTTCAAAGTGGGAGACAAGGTGCTACTGAAGCTTACTCCTCAAATTTGGAAAAAGATAAACAGTGAGACAATGCACCGAGGCTTAATTCCGAAATATGATGGCCACTTTGAAATCTTAAAACGTGTGGGCAATGTTGCATACAGGCTAGTGTTGCCTGATCGATTAAAAATCCACCCAACTTTCCATGTTAGCTTTTTGAAACCTTTTCATGAGGATCAAACAAACTTGACAAGGAAACAAGCTCGGAAAGCACCTCCAATGGTTAAAAAGCGGTTTGACAAGGAGGTAGAACGGATTCTGGATCACAAGACCGAGGGTCAAAGCAAAAAGAATCGAAGGACCCATTACTTAGTATAATAAGATAGTGGCATATGATAGTGGTGTTGGTGGTAGATAGTGGCATGTATATAATATGATAGTGGTAGATAGTGGTAATATATAATATGTAAGTGGCATATAATGGGTTATAATGATGTTTGTAATATCTCCCATATAAGGAGTGTCATTTGGTCTTGTAAAATAAGAAGTTTTGAATATAACAGAAATATATTCCTTCTTCCTCATATTTTCGGATCTTTCCTTGCCCACGGATATACATCCGGACAGATTGTGACCAGCGGAGAAAATTATCACCATTTAGGCGGATGGTGGTGATTTGGACAGAGTGAGAGTTGGACGTTTTTACCGGAATGGCAGCGGCAAGGGTTGAAGTGGTTTCGGACGTGACTTCCGACATGGCTATGACGGTTTTAGGGCTGCTGTGTTTTTTATAAGCTCTAATTACATGTGCTATCCTACTGCACAAGAATTGTGGGATAATGTTAGTCAGATGTATTCTGACCTAGGAAATCAATCTCAAGTTTTCGAATTAACTTTGAAGTTGGAAGAGATTCGTCAAGGAGATGATTCCGTCACCAAATATTTCAATTCGTTGAAAAGATTGTGGCAGGATCTTGACATCTTCAACACATACGAATGGAAATCGGTTGACGACTGCAACCACCACAAGAAAACTGTGGAAGACAGCCGTATTTACAAGTTTCTTGCCGGCCTCAACATTGAGTTCGATGAAGTGCGAGGAAGAATTATTGGCAGACTTCCTCTCCCATCCATTGGCGAAGTATTTGCCGAAGTCAGAAGGGAAAAGAGCCGAAGTAGCGTCATGCTTAAGAAAAAAGGTACTGATGAATCAATTGAAATTTCTTCTTTAATTAGCGATGCTGCGGCCAACAAGGCTGCAAATTACCAGCCCAGGTTTGATGATAAGCCACGGGTCTGGTGTGATTTTTGCAATAAGCCTCGCCATACACGCGAAACGTGTTGGAAGATCCATGGCAAACCTGTCAACTGGAAAAGCAGCAAACAAGGAGAGAAGAATCGTGGCTTTCCTACCGCTAATGAAGCCGATTCAGGTCCCTTCAACAAAGAGCAGATTGATCAACTCTTAAAGCTGATAAAATCCAACTCCTCATCCGGTACTCCTAGTGTTTTGTTGGCACAAACAGGTAGAAATCCTAAAGCCTTCTCTTGTCTAAACTTCTCTCCGTGGATCATAGATTCCGGTGCCTCCGATCACATGACTAGTTTTTCCCATTTATTTAGTACCTATTACCCTTGTTCTGGTCATGAAAAAATCAGAATAGCCGATGGTAGTTTTTCACCTATTGCAGGAAAAAGATTTATTAAACTAACTGAGAAAATTAATCTCAATGCTGTTGTTCACGTCCCCAACTTAGCCTGTAACCTTTTGTCTGTCAGTAAACTATCTAAGGATTCTAATTGTCGTGTTACATTTTTTGAATCCCATTGTGAATTTCAGGACCAGAACTCGGGGATGATGATTGGGCGTGCTAGGATGCTTGAAGGTCTTTACTACTTTGATGAAGTACCTGTTAGTAATAAAAAAGCTCAAACCTTTAATAGTACTAGTTCAATCTCTGTTCGAGAAAAAATAATGCTATGGCACTATAGGCTAGGACATCCTAGTTTTCTTTATCTGAAACATTTATTTCCAGAATTATTTAAAGGGTTTGATTGTTCTTCTTTTCATTGTGAAAGTTGCATTTTTGCAAAATTTCATCGCTCTACTTATTTGCCAAAAACTTACCAGGCTTCCAAACCTTTTTATTTGATTCATAGTGATGTTTGGGGCCCTTCTAAAATCACTAATCTTTCTGGTAAAAGATGGTTTGTTACATTTATTGATGACCATACCCGTTTATGTTGGATTTATTTGATGAATAAAAAATCTGACGTGAAAACTTTATTCACAAATTTTTACAATATGATCGAAACCAATTTCAAACCAAAATTAGTATTTTACATTCTGATAATGGAACAGAATATTTCAATGAGCAGTTGGGTGAGTTTTTGGCAAAAAAAGGAATTTTTCATCAATCTACATGTCGGGATACCCCTCAACAAAATGGCATTGCAGAATGAAAAAATAAACATTTACTTGAAGTAGCACGTGCTATAATGTTTTACATGCATGTTCCTAAATATTTATGGGGTGAAACAATTTTAACAGCCTCTTATTTGATAAACAAGATGCCTACAAAGGTGTTAACATACAAAACACCTTTTGATTGTCCTAATGACCCGAATGTCCACCCGAGTTCTGGCATCGAAATTTTAGGTAATCCTATTCCTTCTATTTCCGACCTTGATGTTCCTATAGCAATTAGGAAAGGTGTTCGAAATTGCATTAAACATCCTATTGCAAATTACCTCTCCTATCAAAGATTGTCTAAAAACCATAGAGCTTTCACATCTAGGATTTCACACTTGTTTGTTCCAAGGAATATACAGGAAGCATTGGATGATCCGAATTGGAAATTAGCAGTCATGGAGGAGATGAATGCTTTAAGGAGAAGTGGTACTTGGGAGATAGTTGATCTACCCAAAGACAAGAAAACAGTTGGGTGTAAATGGGTGTTTACGATAAAATGTAACGCAGATGGAAGTGTTGAGAGATACAAGGCGAGACTGGTGGCTAAAGGCTTCCCTCAAACTTATGGGATCGACTATCAGGAGACGTTTGCTTCTGTTGCTAAAATAAATTCCATCAGAGTACTGTTATCTCTTGCAGTAAATTCAGATTGGCCTCTACATCAACTTGACATTAAAAATGCATTTCTCAATGGTGATCTTGAAGAGGAGGTGTTCATGAGCCTACTGCCGGGATTTGAGCAGAGACTTGGTAGCGACAAAGTATGCAGATTGAACAAGTCATTATACGGACTCAAACAATCACCAAGAGCGTGGTTTGAACGCTTTGGAAAGGCAGTTATCAGTTGTGACTTATCGCAGAGTCAAGCAGATCACACAATATTTTATAAACATTCAAAAGACAGTAAAATTGCAATTTTGATTGTTTATGTTGATGACATCATTTTAACAGGTGATGATGAAGTAGAGTTAGCAGCCCTCAAAAAGAAACTCGCAAAAGAATTTCACATTAAGGATCTGGGAGCCCTCAAGTATTTCCTCGGAATGGAATTTGCAAGATCTAAGGAAGGTATATTCGTTAAACAGAGAAAATATGTTATTGATCTCCTTGGAGAAACAGGTATGCTTGAAGATGGTGGAGACTCCGATGGAGCCTAACTTGCAAAGTTACAAGCTGTCTAAGGCTGAAGAAGTCAAAGAGAGGGAACAATACATCAGCCGACTTGTCGGGATAATTGATTCTTACTTGTCTCATACGCGGCCTACCATATTGCCTTTGCAGTCAGCATGGTAAGTCGTTCATTCGCACTCACCAGGGGCAGGCACTTTGAGGCCGTATTATAAGATCTTAAGATATTTGAAAGGAACTCCAGGGA